ACTGATTATACATAAATAACGTTTTAATTGAGCCTGAGGATACATTTTCACTAAGCCGTATTTGCCCTTTTTCTTAAGCATATGCAAAAAAAACAAAGATAGCCATCAATCACTTTTGAGATTAGATTTTGGAGTTTGATCCGAGGTTACTTTTTTTGGAAACCGTTAATGATTACAACGCGTGAGATTAAACCACAAATTCAACATGTTTCACTTTTCGAACTTTGAACTTTGAATGCACCTTCCCGCAAACCGCTACGAATAGTCACTCTAATTTTCCCAGCCTCGTAATTGGTTCACGGCAGCGAGCTCCCTTTAAGTTTCTTCTTTTTTTAGCCAATGGATAACTTGGAAATGGTGACACACTAAACGTGAAATGCTGTGGGGAGGGAAAAAAATAGTTGTGCTTAATTGAGACTGGTGTGTTACTAGGTCACGTGTTTGTCTATTTATAAGTGTTCAATGATTAGAGTGCTGACTGGATAGAGCAAAGGTGAATGAATGCTGGGTTTCCAGAAGATTGATCATAACGAGGAATTGACGTCTTAAATAAACTCATGAAACTATATCCGTATATCTATCAATTCTGAAGTAGCGTATGCAGTATCTTGTACGAGGAATACCTGGATGATACATGCCCCTGACAAAATAATGGGGTTTCTTCTATATTTGGGGGGGGGGGGGGGGGGGGGCAGGAGTTCGCCTTGTCCCTCACATTAAGAATCGCGGGTGCATATATTTAATGCATTTTAAATATTAATTGTAAACTACTGAAAAATTAGTAATAAAGATGTCCAGTTTTAGGGGACGTTGCCCCCCACCCGTGCCCCCAGACTCCGCCCAGGGTCCTACTTGAAATAATCAATTACAGTATATCGTGCTAAGTGTTGTTTTAAAGACACTTGCTGGATCAAGGTGGGCTCACCTGGCTTTTGGTCGCTCTAGTTTTGTTTACTTTAGTAAGCCAGTCACGAAAGTAGCGTCTAAGAGCCAACAAAAACATTGGCATGAACCCATCAACACCAACGGTAGTCTGTGATTATACAAGGCAAATCCCGAATCGATTTAAACTCCTCTTAAGCCTCATCAACAAACTGTGGACAATTCATTTTACTTACGAAAGATTGTTTTTTTTCCCCCCAATGTTCTGAATGTTCGGTCGCTACCGTGCAGTGAGACGAAGTCCTCCGTTGTTATCCAGCGCAGCAGTGATGTGCAGTCATTGGCGAGCGGGCTGTATATAAATGTGCATGTTGGACTTTTTTCGTACCGTACGTAGCCAAACGTGCTCATCGGAGGTGCGGGGGGAAGGACAACAAAGTAAACACAAAAAGGCAGTTCTAAAGAATTGCGTTTTCAATCGAGATTTAAACGTGCATAGCTCCAGTTGTGTCCTGACATTTCACCTCTGGGCCTGTCAGTCGGTCACAATTACCCAAATGTATTTGATGACAACCTCAGATAAGCAGAACACAACGCAGCTATTCCAGAACTGTTGGTGGATGTTTGCATAATGTATGTGAGTCATTTTACTACACGTTTGTGTGTAGTTTGAAACGTATGGGTATCAGGCCTGAAGTGATTTTTTTAGGTTATGATTATGGCTTTTACAATTTTGATCTATAAGCCACAGAATTTCACCTTGGCTGGGGATGATTTTCAGAGCACTCCTTTGGTCGTACCGTGCAATACGCAGCGGTGTTAAGTGTGCCTGGTAGGAAGAGGATTGTTTATAGTGTTGTATTTGTATTTGTTTGGGTGATTTGTTCACCTTTCTTGTACTTTGCGCTCCTATCGTGTTTCTGTACCGTTTGTTGTTGTAACGTTCTTACCCGCCCCCTCCTGGACGTCTGTGAAAAAGAGCTTTATAGCTCATCGGATTCCTGCTGTATAAATAAATATTCTGATTTTGTAAATTGCAGGATCACACGGACACCGGTTAACCAGAGGAGTTTAACCCTCTCGCGATTGGTTTGATGATTGACATCGACAATTACTAAACACACAGCAACAACATCTTGGTTCAGGCATATTCCTAGATTGAGTTGCATGAAGTGTGTAGGAATGGTTGTTCTAAAATTGTAAGGCTCTTTGCATTACAGCGCCATCTGGTGCGATTTCATCGTAAATGAGAGAGCAGAGCACATTTAAGTTTATATTCGGGCACGTTGCGTTGTAATGTGATAAAAACTCAACACATTCCAATTTTTTTTTGACAATGTAATTTTTTTGTTAATTCAAATGCCAAATATTATCGATGTAGACTTGTTACAAATTAGAAAATCACATTTTTGGCAGTGGTACACAAGCACAAATTACAAAACTTGACAATTTTGTCAATGGCAATTTCCTAGAAGGAAATAAATTTGCAGGTGACGTTTCAGGCAATGACCCTTCTTTTTTGTGCAAAATTTGTAATGATGAGGAACACAACTTCTCAAAAGCAAAACGTGCGAGCATCCGAATATTTATTTCGCCTGCAGGAGGAATCCGATGAGCTATGAAGCTCTTTTACACAGATGTCCAGTAGGGGCGAGTCACAAAGTTACAGTTTAGAGGGAGTGATAAAAGTGGACGAATGATCAGCACGAGACTAAAAGAACATCAGAGAAATGTTAAATATTCCCAAATACATCTGTCAGCAGTAGCAGAACACACGTGCCAACAAGGACACTCAATTGATTTTGATAATGTTGAAGTTCTGTGCAAGACTAGCTACGACTGGCCAAGACTAATTAGAGAATCCATCGAATTTGAAAGAAATAAAAATAACTTTAACCGTTCGGATAGCTACCTCCTTAGTGCTGCGTGGAAGCGAATCATCAAATAATAAATTGTTTAAATGCATTCCTACAAAGGGCAGCGTACTTCAATAGGGATTACCGTTGGTAGGGCTACTTTAATAAACACAATATACAGGAAAGACAAGATCAAAGGGCTCGCATAATGCACATGCATAATGTACGTTGCCTCATTAATCCCCCCTACGTGGTGCAAGAGCGCACTAAGCGTGGTCAACACATCTACGCCTCTACATAAGGAACGAAACAGGTGGACTTCTCCACAAATCTGGCTGTCGCCTGATGAAGCTGGTTGTAATTACTGGCGAAACGTCGTACTCAGATTGTAAATGTTGTGGCTTGGCTCTCCAACACACAAGCGGTGTTGCTGTACAAGTGACGAATTGGCCACGTTCTGTTTACGTGACAACCCTTACTAGTTGGCTGTGTCGGGTGGTGGCGGGTTTTAATGACACATTTATATATTTACGCGATCTAATTCAAAATAACTCTCATCATGAATACATATTCTGTTTAAATATTGACTTAAAGCTTTGGTGACTGCAGGAATTCATATTCTTCGGGTCGATCGGTAAAGCCCCGTAAGATAGAACGAATAATACAAATAATAACATAAAATAATAACATTAAATAATAACCTTATTTGTATTATTTGTTCTATCTACGTGGAAAAAGTCACGTGGAAAGAAAATAAATTAAATAATAGAATACGACGTTTCCATTGCAACACAACCGAGGGAGGCTAACACAACAGTCGACACCCTACCTGGTTGATTTACGTTCTTCCAAAGAATGCTAAATTTGGAAGAGAGAGACAAAACACAGACACGGAGACACACAGACACACAAGGGGCCGTCCATAAATGACGTCACGCACCTGGGGGGGGGAGGGGTCAGACATTTGTGACGATGTGTGACGAGAGGAGGGGGGGGTTTGAGAAATGTGACGTCACATCAAAATGCGCAACTTTAAATAAATATAGACAACACGTTCCACTTAATTAAATAGACTTTTTAATAAATGTTTGCTCCTACAACATTAGAGTGCAGCGCCACATTAAATACGCACTACAATGACAATAGTTTAAAGCGATTTGAAGCATGTTTTATATTTTTTGAGGGGGGGGGCAGAGCTTTGTGACGTCATATTTGATGGGGGGTTTGACTTTTGTGACGCCGTGTGACAAGGAGGGGGGGGGGGTCAAAAATCGTCCAAAATCGCGTGACGTCATTTATAGACGGCCCCTAAGTAGAGAGAGAGACAGAGAGGGACACACACATAGAAACGTCGTATTATATTATTTATTTTATTTCTACGTGACTTTACCGAAAAATGTCTGACCCCCCCAGGTGCGTGACGTCATTTATGGACGGCCCCTTGTGTCTGTCTGTGTCTCCGTGTCTGTGTTTTGTCTCTCTCTCAAATTTAACAGTCTCTGGGTTGTATTGCATTATATTTCTAAGTTTTTGCTAGGTTTCATATTCTTGGTTCTTTCGGTAAAGTCACGTAGAAGGGAAACAATAAAATAATAAAAATATAAAACGATAAAATTCTCACGACGTTTCAAGAATATGAATCCCTGCAGTCACGAAAGCTTTAAATCTAAGTTTACTAGGTTTATTTTCTCATTCATTCGTACCTGATGATGGTTGCTTGTGTTGCAATCGAAACGTCGTATTCTATTATTATTTAATTTATTTTCTTTCTAAGTGATTTTACCGAAAGAACCAAAGAGTAATAATTCCTGCAGTCACGAAAGTTTCGAATCTAGTTTTTATATATATTATATTTATATTCTTGGTTCTTTCGTTAAAGTCACGTAGAAGGGAAACGTCGTGAGAATTGTATTGTTTTATATTTTTTTATTTTATTGTTTCCCTTCAACGTGACTTTACCGAAAGAACCAAGAATATTAATCCCTGCAGTCACCAAAGCTTTAAATCAAAAAATATTATATTTTTATTTAAAGCTTTCGTGACTGCAGTAATTCATATTCTTAGTTCTTTCGGTAAAGTCACGTTGAAGGGAAACCATAAAATAAAAGATATATATAAAACAATAAAAATTCTCACGACGTTTCGACCATAACACAAACGGTCATCATCAGGTGACCTCAGGTGACCTGATGATGACCGTTTGGGAGGAGGGAGGGGGCAGGGGGTGTCATCTTGTGCGCATGCGCAGACGATTTCCCGCCACGTGACCACCGACAGCCGCTTCGACGTCCAATAGCGACTCCGTACTCGTGCGATGACAGAGGGGTACACGGCGGTTGGGGAGTGTTCCCTATTGGCCGCCTGCGATGCCACGTGATCCCGAGCTCGCGCCCGATTGGACCATCGGTTAACGGTCGCGGAATTTGAATTGTGGGTGAGTTGATGGAGGCGAGCCGGGCGACTTTTCTCCGTCAGCGACTGTCGAACACCCCGAATTGAATGCCTTCGGTAAATGTAACCTCTTAGAAGAGTAACGTGCTCACCACCCCCCCTTCCCCTGTGGCGAAGGCCGTCGTTTGCGTGACCGGCCGTCGTGTGCGCGACAACGCAACCCGGCGGGCTTTTGGCCCTCGCCGCGGCTCGTTTCATGCGCCGTGGGCTGTCAGGCAGGCGGGGGAGACGGGGTTTGCCGCCGCCGCCGCTGCTGCCGCTGCCGCCGCTGCCGCCGCTGCTGTTATTCTTGTCGTTGTGTTGCTGCTACGTTGAAGGAGCGCAGACGCGAACGAGTGGATGTTTTGGCACCTTCCCTCGACTGCCAGCGGATGTAAACGGAACGCCGCGCGTGTCACCCCGGTGGTTGTGGCGATGTTCTCGCAGTTATTCGTGTGTGTGTGTGGTTTTTTTAACATAATAAAATACTCACCATACGAGCCGATACTGCGTCGGGTTTATCAGAATATTTAGACTGGAGGGGAAATCCGATGAGCTGTGAAGCTCTTCCCACCCACCACATGTCCAGTGTGACGTCCGTGAACCGAAGTGGCTTTATCGCGGCCTGCTGTTGACTAGTTGCAAGCGGTGAACAGATTTGTTGCAAGATGCGTAGTGTTGTTACGTCTCTTTAAGCAGGTTTTACGATGAGTCAAATCGGTTTCACCGTAACCCCGAGTTTATCTTTGCGTGGTGAGAGCTACGGAGACACGCACTCTATAAAGTGTACTTTATCCACGATATAGTAAGCACTGTAGTTACATTGGTTAGTACTGTCAGTTTATATAACAGTAGTTTAAGAGACGGGTTGCTCAAGCGGCTCTGTGTGATGTTGTTAACCACTATTACCGGCATCAATGGGTACTATACTCGCTTACCTTATCGTCTATATATACGGAGGGGTGTTTATACAGTGAATATCTTTGCATTAGTGTCATATTAATTATGCCTGCTCTACAAGTCTGCTCAGCTTAGATTCCTCGCAATAACTCTTAATACTCGGCCTAAAAGAGTACCCGGTGAAGTGCGTGCAGAAGCTGTCAATGCCAACACGTGCTCGTCTTGTAAGGACTCGGCAAAAATTGGAGCGCCTGCACTTGGGTGGTCATGAGCGTCGGAGAAATAGTCAACAACCCTGGGCTGTCACCCACTCTGCAACTTTAACCCTCCCCATCCTACGAGGGAATGGTGTTGGCTGTGATGGTGAAATTAAAACTATGAAAGTTTTTTTTTTAAATATTACCAGGTAAGGCCCACTTAGCTATATATAGCTCTTTTTTCAGAAGCGACGTGGCCACAAATAATGATACTCGGCGAAGTGGTTTATCACGTGGAAATGTATAGCAGCCAAATACTCCCAAACAAGTTCAAAGCATACCCGAGAGGACACCTCTAGGGTTCGTTGATACGTCTCATTCATCAGGAGCAATAGTCCCTGGTGAGAAGAGACAGCCTGATTGGCATATTATAATCCTCAACCACTTTGTGATCAGATCGTAGTCAAAAGGTCGGGTGTGATACCTTGGCCCTTGCTACATCTCTACTGTTGCTGGCACGGTGCGAAATAGATTCAACATACATACCTTGCAGGTGACTGATGTGCCTGGCACATAAAAGTTGCAGTTTGGTTACCCATTCTTTGAAGTTCGTGAGGACATGAAAAAATATAAATTAATCAACTAAGAGGGGCAGATGCTGAATTAATATTTCAGGCATTCATATAGGTGCTTGTGCAGCTGCCCATGTGTACTGGCTTAATTTGGGTCTCATTCTAATCGGGTGGTTAACATCTCTTTTTTTATGACTTTATGGCCGCATAAAAAACCCCCAGTAAAAACCGTACAATGATTTCCGCACGTATAAATATGAATGGCAATATACAGTGAGGGAAAAAAGTATTTGATCCCCTGCTGATTTTGTACGTTTGCCCACTGACAAAGAAATGATCAGTCTATAATTTTAATGGTAGGTTTATTTGAACAGTGAGAGACAGAATAACAACAACAAAATCAAGAAAAACGCATGTCAAAAATGTTATAAATTGGTTTGCATTTTAATGAGGGAAATAAGTATTTGACCCCTCTGCAAAACATGACTTAGTACTTGGTGGCAAAACCCTTGTTGGCAATCACAGAGGTCAGACGTTTCTTGAAGTTGGCCACCAGATTTGCACACATTTCAGGAGGGATTTTGTCCCACTCCTCTTTGCAGATCTCCAAGTCATTAAGGTTTCGAGGCTGACGTTTGACAACTCGAACCTTCAGCTCCCTCCACAGATTTTCTATGGTATTAAGGTCTGGAGACTGGCTAGGCTACTCCAGGACCTTAATGTGCTTCTTCTTGAGCCACTCCTTTGTTGCCTTGGCCGTGTGTTTTGGGTCATTGTCATGCTGGAATACCCATCCACGACCCATTTTCAATTCCCTGGCTGAGGGAAGGAGGTTCTCACCCAAGATTTGACAGTACATGGCCCCGTCTATCGTCCCTTTGATGCGGTGAAGTTGTCCTGTCCCCTTAGCAGAAAAACACCCCCAAAGCATAATGTTTCCACCTCCATGTTTGACGGTGGGGATGGTGTTCTTGGGGTCATAGACAGCATTCCTCCTCCAAACACGGCGAGTTGAGTTGATGCCAAAGAGCTCCATTTTGGTCTCATCTGACCACAACACTTTCACCCAGTTGTCCTCTGAATCATTCAGATGTTCATTGGCAAACTTCAGACGGGCATGTATATGTGCTTTCTTGAGCAGGGGGACCTTGCGGGCGCTGCAGGATTTCAGTCCTTCACGGCGTAGTGTGTTACCAATTGTTTTCTTGGTGACTATGGTCCCAGCTACCTTGAGATCATTTGCAAGATCCTCCCGTGTAGTTGTGGGCTGATTCCTCACCGTTCTCATGATCATTGCAACTCCACGAGGTGAGATCTTGCATGGAGCCCCAGACCAAGGGAGATTGACAGTTCTTTTGTGTTTCTTCCATTTGCGAATAATCGCACCAACTGTTGTCACCTTCTCACCAAGCTGCTTGGCAGTGGTCTTGTAGCCCATTCCAGCCTTGTGTAGGTCTACAATCTTGTCCCTGACATCCTTGGAAAGCTCTTTGGTCTTGGCCATGGTGGAGAGTTTTGAATCTGATTGATTGATTGCTTCTGTGGACAGGTACTTATTTCCCTCATTAAAATGCAAATCAATTTATAACATTTTTGACATGCGTTTTTCTGGATTTTGTTTTTGTTATTCTGTCTCTCACTGTTAAAACAAACCTACCATTAAAATTATAGACAGATCATTTTTTTGTTAGTGGGCAAACGTACAAAATCAGCTGGGGATCAAATACTTTTTTCCCTCGCTGTACGTGAAATGCTACCCGTTTAACTGAGAAACAGAGTTATGGTTAGCACATACAGGACTTTTAATCCACGTGTCACCGGTTCAATTCATTCTCCCGGCATGGTGGTTTGTGCACTTAAATTTCAGAAGATTTAACTAAACCATTCATACTCTTTGGTTCTATTCTGTAACGTCACGTAGGTAAAAAATAAAATAACAAAAATCACGACGTTTCGGCCACAGCACAAGTGGCCTTCATCAGGTGTAAACATGTAAAACTTGGTTGAAAAAGTTCCTCAAAACATTTAAAACAGTTATAGACTGCCTCGAGTGGAGGGTGTTTTTAATTTTAGAGTTTGATTAAAGTGCTTCTACTAGAATGTTTCTCCCCCCCCCCCCCCCCGACATGAGGGTTATGAACCGTTAAAGCCACTTATAAAACCCACGTGACTCTTTTTACCACCTGTTCTAACAGCACCAGCAAATCGCAGCCCTGAAACCCCACGTGGAAAGCAGCGGCGATGGACAGGGGGCGCCCACGGCCGCTCATTCTTAGGCGGAAGCGGCCGCACGATGGGGAGCAATGCCCACCGTCCAAGGGGGCCCTGCTGCAGGGGGGCATGCGAGACGACATTGCCACGGCTGGCTCCCAGGTATTGGTATATCCCTCAAAAGTCAGATATTCAAAGACGGTCACTGCGTCGCGCGCTTTCAGATGCGCTTCTGCGGCCGTCTGAAATGCTCGTCCTTTCGATATTAGGAAGCCGCTGGAGCTATGCATTTTTTTATCTGAATTGAAAGCGAATTTCTTTTGAACTGCTTTTTTTTGTTGTGATTCCCTCGCATCTCCGATTATAACAGTTGGCGACGTATGGTGCGAAATGAGTTCAACATTCTTTTGCAGCTGTTACGGAGTTTGTCTTTAAATGCAACATATAATTTACATAATGGCATCCAAACTCTAGAGCATTAGATCCTGATACAGTCATGGTCACCAGAAGCCAGAATACAGAACAACTTATGACATAGTAATATTCTAAGTATGATTCGAGATTTGTCATAACTGAGCAAGTATGAGAGTTTGGTCATTGAGTGTCAAAAATGTTTGAGAAATTTAATGAGTGGTCAGAACTACAAGTCGATCATAACCAACAATAATGAATACAATTACATAATATATTCCAAAATAAATTATTAATAACAATAATATTAATATAATCAATAATATAAAGATACCTCAATCCCAGACCAGTTGAAGCACACGGATTGAAGACGTAATCCCTAGCAACAACTTTCGTCGAGGGTGAGAGTTACACAATAGCTCCGACACCCGTCTGCACCCTTGACGTCATTTAGGATTGTACCACAACCGTAGCCTGCCGAACTTAACAAAGCGTAAGAGGAATGTCTGTGTTCTGGCACAGGTGCCGATAGTGGCGACGGTTGCAAGCGCACATTGCGGTCTGGCGGAGTCCGCGCGGCGTCGGCAGCACAACCGCAAGGAACAAGACTGCAGCGGCGCCGGCTTGAATCCACCGCGGCGCAAGGCCATCCTCCTCGAACACCCTCCTGCGCTGCGCCACGCAGGCCGCACCTACTTTCCTGGAAAGGAAAACATGGCACCCTCAACCGCGTGCTCGATGCAGTACGCCGACCACGCCGGGAGCTCTGTTGCGGTGCCGAAGTTGCCAACGCGTGCCTTTGGGACGGCGGCTGTGGGAAATTGTGGTGCAGGCATCGAGAAAGGTGTGTCATAATGCCGGTTGTTATATTTTAGTGATCCAGATGTGTGTATGTTGAGCTTCTTTTGCGGCGTACGTAGGCATCCGTGCTTATCGGAGGTGCAGATGAGAACTTGCTGAGATTCATATTAGCCTTGGAAACGAATTTGGGTACCTGCTAGTGGGTTAGTCAGCAGCCGTAAATGCAAACAGATCGACTGTGATTGAGGGGAAGGTGCAGTTTCATTAGTTACCTGGCGCTGAGAGTTAATCAATGCAAGTCTCACCGGCAGAGTTTATCAGTTCATTTGATTTTTAACCTTGGACAGTTTTGAAAGGTCGATTGAACATTGAACTGATGTTTGATTATACAAGTTAACATAAAATGCACCACCAACAGTGTCTCCAACTCGAGTCGGTTACAGTTGATTTTTTTCTAGTTGAATTTCTCACGAAAATGTAGTAAAACCTCTTGAAGCCAGTCTAATTGGTGAGAGATTATTTTTGGCGATGGAAAATGTCAGGCACGTTGCAGATAATGATAAAATTACAGTATCACTAGATCACGACAAAATGTAATCATGGTTAAAGATAATGATGATTATATGAACCTCATGTGGGGACCCCGGGGACCCATAAGCCCCCGGCTTGCATAAACTGCGTTGCGACGTCATTTTATGTCTGTTGAAGGCGAACAATATGGCAATCTATTCCTCTTGACGAGCTCTACACGATGCGCTAATCTAAATTTTGTTTCTTCTGCGCATTCGTCCTCGCTGGGCTTGGACGACACGACAACAGAATGATCCGCGCCAGGTGGGTCGCGGCGTTTATGTGCGCGGCGGGATGGAGTCGCCAAAATTAAAATAATTAATTACGATTTTTCACTTCCGTTTATTCTGGACCCCGGGGTCCCGCCATAAGGTTCATATTCAACTGTCACAGTTAGCAAGATTCAAACGTATACTGTGTCAGGTGTTTCTTTGATAACTTTCGTGGTTCAATGTCGAAGGTGCCGTGATGAACAAAAGCCTAACCAGCATACAGTGGCTGGGTCGACTCGAGGGGGAGCGTCTGCTGCCCGGTGTTGCCGAAAGCCACCCCGCGGTGGACAGGACAATAAAGCAGGAGCAGAGTCTGAGCTCTTGCGGTAGAGCAAAGGTGGCTAGCGACAAAAAGGACAGGGGCGTGGAGAGCTGTGTTTTCACCGAGGCCACCGATGCTGCCACTGCCAACAGCAAAAAACAACAAGACAATAAAAAGGTGGGGTCATGATTTATAGTAGAATTTAACAAGTCAAAGTTATTGTTTGAATGCATGTGCTGTTCATGTCATGACATCCATGAATCGACCATTGCCATATGTTTATGTTTGATATCAAAATCTATATATATAAAAGGGAAATTTGGGAATATGTGTGTCCATTTGAAATGTTTAGCATACTTCCCAACATGCAACAAACTTGAAATTTGGCATGTGGGTAGCTTCCAGACTGTACACAATGCAAAAAATATCAAAATAGACTTTTGTATTTGGGGGGGGGGGGGGGCGCAATAATGGATATATTTTGCACGGCAAGTGAGCGGTGATGTCACCATGCATGCGGTAGCGTGACGCAGTGTGCCTGCTGACGTCACGCACCCCCACCCTCCGCGTAGGCCGTGTATTAATCCAAGACAAGAATCCAAGTCCCGGGCGAAGCCGGGTAGTAAAGCTAGTATTAAATATATGGGAGTTTACTAAGTTGCTTAGCTGATTCTCTAATCAGGGAAATGACCCACCTCCACTGACATGCTTTTTTCAAGTTACATTTTAGAAATGAATGCACTGATTGGCACGCGCAAACATTCAAAACTCGTGGCGCTTTTTTTGTAGTTTTCAACTTACTTTCAACTCAAAGTCAATCATTGCTATCAGACATTTCTATTGCTAAAGATTATTATGAAATATGAGTGCACATTTACCTGGTTTGAAATTATTGATATTATTACTGAAATGTGCGTTTTGGGTTTTCTTGTTTCCTTCCCCCCCTCTCCCTCCCGGTGTTGGGTTGATCAGGATAACCACTCGAACCTGGAGCGGCCGCTCTTCTCTTACATGGCCATGATCCAGTTTGCGATCAACAGCAGCAGCAATGGGCGAATGAGTCTGCGTGAGATCTATGCCTGGATTGCACACCGCTTCCCGTACTTCAGACATTCAGCACGGCCCGGATGGAGGGTAACGCTCGCTTTGTGATGTTCGGGTAAATTAAATAAATGAAAATGGGTACCACGGTGGTGAGATGTTAATTACCTCGCCTGGTATACAGGAGTACGTGGGTTCAATCCTGACCATGACGCCTGTATATTTGGAGTTCGCATGTCTCTTTCCCCATAGTCGCGTGGATTTTTTCCCGGGTCCTCTGGTTTTTCCCTCCACATTTATAAACAATGTACTTTTAGAGTATTTGGATGCAATACATTTCCACATGATAGCCACTTCGTTGAGCTATCATTTGTGGCCTGGTCGATTCTGAAATAAGCTATATAGCTCAGCGGGCCTTACCTGGTACAATAAAAATAGTTTTTAGCTTAATTTTGCAGGTCAAGTTTTGTTTTTGTAGTTTAAGTGTTTGCCTTTACTCACTGTTTTTCCCCTGTCACCTGCTCTGCCCACAGAATTCAATCCGACACAACCTGTCGCTGCACACCATGTTTGTGCGCGAGACAGTGCCAGGAAGCAAGGAGTCCTTCTGGACTGTGTCCAATGAGAGTACGCACAGGCGGCACGCTTCGATTAGAGTAAGACAGATGCTTGGCTTTGTCCAAACCGCACGTAACCTGTTTTATTCCCCTTTTACACTAGCACATCCAAGCCGAGCCAACATGGGACCCTCAAAACTATGGGTGATTTTTTTCCCCACTGGTTATTTGTCACGCCATGAACCAAACCGTGCTACGCTGGCCTCACAAGACATTTGAATCTTGCTGGGAGCCAAGCAGAGCCAGGGCCAGGATTAATTATGCATTTATTGCATCTCGCATCATTACATAAAGAATATTGATAAGCCATTCGTTCACAGCCTTGGGGTGCTGAAAGAGTGTGCGTGTGAGAGTGTGAACGTGTAGAAATGTGAGCGTTTGTGTGCCGCTATATTGTAGCCAAACTCTGGCCACACTTCACTCGATGCAACCCCTGCTTGGAATAGACGATTGATGTGTGGCACACTTGTTATTTTCCTTCTCGTGTAATGTTTTATCTTGGGTTGCATTTAGATGTTTGACATTTCTGCTTATATCCCCTGGTTCTAAGTGAATGAATAATCGAGCCACATGGCTCCCATGTGTTGCAGGATACATCGCAAGCGAACCACAGTGCACTCATAGGTATGCCAATTGTTACCTCGCCTCTCGTACACCATTTCTTCAACGGTTTCTTAACTTTCGATTTAAAGCTTTCGTGACTGCAGGGATTCATCTTCTTGGTTCTTTCGGTAAAGTCACGTAGAAGGGAAATAATAAAAATAACACGTAATAGAATTTAATTCTCACGACGTTTCGGCCACAACACAGAGGACGGCTGCTTGTGTTGTGGCCGAAACGTCGTGAGAATTTTATTCTATTATGTTTTATTTTTCTTATTTCCCTTCTACGTGACTTTACCGAAAGAACCAAGAAGAGGTTTCTTAACTATTTCTTTCAATTGATCATGCATTGATCCCTTAGAAGAGGCTGTCTGTTGTTTGTGCTCATTCATGATCAGAATATGTATTCATACTGGAGGAATCCCATGAGCTATTAAGCTCATTTCCACAGATGTCCAGTAGGGGCAAGGGGTAAGAACGTTACAACAACAAACAGTACAAAAACACGATAGTAGCGCAAAGTACAAGAAAGGTAAATGAATCACCCAAACATAAACAAATGCAACTAAACCATCCCCATCCTACCAGGCAAAGCCCACTGAGGTATGAACTTATTTTTCAGAAGCAACCTGGCCACAAATAATAGCTCAACAAAGTGGCCCATCATTTGGACATTTAGAGCACCAATATAATCTATGTAATCTCATTCATGTTTCTAAATGTGGAGGGAAAAACCGGAGGACCCGGAGAAAAATCCACGTGACCACAGGGAGAACATGCAAACTCCAAATTTACAGGCGTTAGGGTCGGGATCGAACCCCCGACCCCCAGCATACCAGGCGAGGATGATATCATCTTGCCACCATGGTGCCCCTTTAATTGATAAAGGCTCCCATGGTGGGTTATAATACACGATGCTGGCCTTGTCCGTACAACCTCTGTGCTCACGTGCAGTGGATCTGTTGTGTGTCTGTGCGTGCGTATGGAATCCCAGCACCATCGTCAGCTCGACGGGTCCAGCCTCTGTTGCCTCGCCCACCCGTGCCACAGCCCATCAGCCTCCTGCTGACGCCTTCCTCATTGCACTTTATTCAGCCCACGCTTGTTGTTGCTGCTGCCATAAAGCAGGAGCAGCAGGTTGCAACGGTGTTAGACCGTGCCGTGAAGGCTAAACCCATGTCCACAGCGCCAGCAAAAATGACGAAGCAGCAGGAGGAGCAACAGCCTTCCTCATTGCACTTTATTCAGCCCACGCTTGTTGCTGCTGCCATAAAGCAGGAGCAGCAGGTTGCAACGGTGTTAGACCGTGCCGTGAAGGCTAAACCCATGTCCACAGCGCCAGCAAAAATGACGAAGCAGCAGGAGGAGCAACAGCAGCCGCAGATTGTAATGCAACAGCAAATGGTGGCACAGATACTGCAGCCACGGCAGATACAGCAGCGGCATCAGCAACCGGTGAAGGAGGAGCAGCAGGAAACGGTGCATAAGTGGATTGTACGGGATGAGAGTGTGCTGCAAGTTGTGCAGCAAGAGCAACAAGTGAAGGAGCATTTGGTGCGACAGCCGCAGAATGTGCGACAACTACAAATGACGAAGGAGGAGGACGAGAAGCCGACGCTACAGAGGGTGCACGAGTGCCTGGCCTCCAGCACGTCAGCCCGGTCGACGCAAGGCTTAACAGCTACGGTGAGAGGCATCCCTTCGAAATACAGCTGGTCTCCGACTTACGATGGTCCGACTTACGATATTTCGACCTTACGATGGCGATAGCGATATGACAAAATTGTCAAATATTTTTAATTTCGCGCGGCAGGCAAACGCAGCAGCGTACGAGGTACGATACTGTAACTTTATCATTGCCATCCTCCTCTTCCGACAACTAAGTTAATGTAGCCATCAACAACCTAGCATCGTTCAAGTATGCAGACGACGGACAGAATCTTGGTGAGTACAGTAGAATATGATATGTTACGATACGTTCAATGCATGTACGATAAATAGCTTTAGCGATTTCATTTTAGGGTTACCACGATACGATACATACGTTCAATGCATGTTAAAAGTTTTTTATAGCAGATAGGATTGTTTCCTGAAAAAACTTTCAATGAAATTGCAATTCATATAGGTAGGCTAAGAATTTACCTTGTTTTTTACTTTACATTTTACTGTGCAATACATTATTGTAATTAATAAATACATACACTATATAGTTTATACAGTACGGTACTGTAAATTGCTCTGTTTTGCTAAATTATCAACATTCTTTAAGACTCCTGGGTAGGTAAGGCCATTTTCGACTTACGATATTTTCGACTTACGATGGGGTCGTCGTAACGCATCTCCGTCGTAAGTCGGGGACTACCTGTGTGCTTTGACATCTTCATCACCTACATTGTCTTCATCACCACTGCCGTCGTGATCTATACCGCCACTGTTGTCGTGACAATAGCCTCATGAGTGTGTGGGATTGTAGAGTCACTGGCATGGGTGATTTTTTTCACTTTGTGAGCTTGTATGTGCGTACGTACGTTGAGCTTGTTCCGCACCGTACAAAGCCAACCGTGCTGATCGGAGGTGCGGGGGAAGGTCAACAAACTAAACACAATGAGCAATTTCGAAGGGAATTAGTTTTCAGTCCGGTAGTGTGATTGTGTATAATGATAGACTTCGGGAATCCGTGCGGTGACGTTAAGTTATTTCCCCTGTATTTTTTTAAAATGCGTTTTCCTTTTATCCACAGTTGCCGGCGTGCACCTGGCAACAGGGCGAAGTGGTCAGTAAAGGCGAGAGTCTTGCCTTTACTCCAAAGAAGCGAGCGCTCTACCGTACCCCAAAGTGCAGGCGGAAGCCGGGTCACTGGCGCAAGCAGAGCCTTGTGCACCAGCATCTTACACCCGCGTCAGAGTTAATGTTTATGGAGGAGTCTGTGGTCAAAGATTCCTCTGGAAGCGACTGGGGAGGTAAAAATTGGCTGCGCGACCAGCCTCTTGTATGTGTGTGTGTATGTGTAACTTCTTTCGCGCCGCACGTAGCCAAGCGCGTTAATGGGGAGGTGTCGATGCTTAGCAACGCAGCTACGGATCAAACACATTACATGCTCAACTATAATCCTGTCCCAAATCCACAGCCACTCTTAGTCACCAAAGACTAGCTAGTATCTGCAGATTGTGAATTGAGCGCAGTAACCTCGTCACAATCCGGCAGGATCTATCTTAATAATTATCCTGAGTTGTAATCCATTGCCGAGCCAAAATTTTAGTTTTATCCACAATCCAAACCTCAACCATCATTCCTTAACCTAAACCCAAACATCTCTAACATTCCAACCCAAACCTTAGGTCATACTCTCTACCCTCAACCAAAGCTTAATCTTAAACCCAAACATAATGTTCAACAATCTTTCGCCTAACTTTTACTTAAACGATATGTTTGACGCGCGTAACATTTTGCTTTCATATATCGATTGTATAAAAATTGTTTTCAGATATTAATTGTAGAATGGTAATCTTACATGTATGAATTGTATCAAAATTAGCTTTCAAATACTATACACGACACTTTACACTACACTACACTATTATACACGACACTACTATACACTACGCTACTATACACTACACTATACACTACACTACTCTATACACTACACTACTCTATATACTACACTACTATACACTACACTACTATACACTACACTACTATACACTACACAATACACTACACTACTATACACTACACTACTATATACTACACACTACACTACTATATACTACACACTACACTACTATACACTACACAATGCACCACACTACTATACACTACACTATACACTACACACTGAGCTCTATGGTGGTCTTTAAGAGGGGTTCTACTGTATTCAATTTAATGTTCACATGGTCTCCTGTGAGCATAAGGATTACCGTTCAAGAAGGCACGTCCGACTGATTGCGCCATCTCCTCTCGCGTGCAGACCCTGATGGACAACAAGCCGCGGACTGCGCAGACTTGGCGCTGTTTGCCACCCCGACGCGGAGGTTCAGCCTGACCACTTCGACGCCGTGCCAACTGACGGAGCCACCCACGTGCCTACTCTCCCCGTGGAGCCCCCCTTTCGCTCCGCCACCGCTGCCATTCTCCTCCTCGCCGTTTAGCCCAGGCACCGCCGCGATGGCCTACCACCACTCCCCTTGCACCCCGCACCGGCTGAGAGGCGTCACACCAAGCTCGTGGACGATGCGCGCAAGGGGGGACCGCGTGCCCAGAGTCAGTTTGTCATTCACCCCGATAAAAGCCAGTTGCGTTGCAGAGCGAAAAACGACCTCTGCCGCTGCACCATCAGTGCCGTTGGATATAGTGTTGGTTAAGGTGGAGGACGACGACGACGACGCCGACGTGGGGAACGACAGCGAAGGGATTGGCGGCTTCGCGTTGGCAGATGCGGACGCCGCAGCGGAGGTGGCGGCGATGGTGCCCGAGCACAGCGGTGCAGGGGGAGCCGGGACGAGCACCTGTGTGGGCAGTGGTGGGGGGGAACCGGCGGCATTGGGTGTGGCGGAGGCTGCGGAGGAGGCCAGCCGTGGTGTGGATGGAGCGAGCTGGACATGTGGCGAGGACAGCTTTGAGAAGATTCTGCATGAACTGAGCCTGCCCCAGCTGGAGGAGAACTGGACCGATTCAATGTTGGACATGAATAGTGTAAACTGGACGCTGCTCGACACACTGCACGCAGGCGTGCCGGGCTTCTAGGCGGCGGCGCAGTTTGTACTTTTCAATAATCGTTGGGCTTTCATTACCGTACACGATTTTAGATCTGCGGCGACTCGCCTGTCCTGGCACAGTGTTCGCGTCGTCGCCCCACAAACCCGGTGAGTTGAGTTTAGTTCCTGGAAATGGTTAGCGTCATTTGGTGAGCAGTACATGAACTGGTCCCGTATAATCAACTCGCCATGATCGGCATGGTGAAGTATGGTTAAGCAATCCATATGACACAACACAGCATGGGGATGCCTTCAACCAGCAGTGAATTGCCAAAGGGCGGTGTACATTCATCGGGCAGTTTTTAAGGGCAACTAAGCACGCATGCCAACTCGAATTTCTGTATTTGATAGTACGTTTTTCCCCATTCAAAATTATTTATAAAGCTTTTAAACCGCAACACATTGGGGATGAAGAAAACCATTGCACGCCCCTTGTTTTGAATTGGGTGGCTTGTATTCATATTCTTAGTTCTTTCGGTAAAGTCACGTTGAAGGGAAACAACAAAATAATAAAATATATATAAAACAATAAAAAAAGTCTCACGACGTTTCGACCATAACACAAACGGTCGTCTTCAGGTGTTATGGTCGAAACGTCGTGAGAATTTTTATTGTTTATATATTTTTTATTATTTTGTTGTTTCCCTTCAACGTGACTTTACCCAAAGAACTAAGAATATGAATTACTGCAGTCACGAAAGCTTTAAATCTAAATTTAAATGGGTGGCTTGTGTTTAACTTGTCGAGGCTGACCAATTCCACCGATGCAAATTCTCCACCTGGTCAAGGAAACCACGTCTTAAGTACTGTAGGCTTGTGTGCAGCTTGGTCAAGGGTTAAATTGTTTGGTATTTACCGCGAATCAGTTTTAGTCAATTGGATAACTACTTGGTTGTGAGAGTGTTTTTATTTAAACACATTTTTAGGTTTAAAGAGTTAATATATTCCCCCGCTCTATTTGTGTGTCTGTTTCGTGGCTTCATTAAGATAATCCAGTGTAATTAAAATTCGGTTATGAGGTTGTGTTGCTGTTCAAGACTCATCCTAGAGAAAACCCGGGCAAAATTGATCAGTCGCTAAGCCGCTTAGCCTTATGAGCAGGCCATAGTGTCCGCCTTACACAGTTACCATGTCTTGAGGCACGAGTCCATGCTTTGTTTTTCGGGATCCCATTGTCCTGCCTGACCTGGCACAACCAGGTGGCACGCTGAGCTCGGTGGTACCATTTTATTATTTTCTCGGCCGCACGAGGCTGCTGGCCTCGGCGTCCGGGTTTTGGGTCTGTCCTGGCCCGGGTGCTTTTCCCTGGCTGCCGGCATCTATTGTCGGCGTGCAGCCCGTGCGCTGCCAGCACCCACCGCTGCCCAGTTGTGGTCGGCGTGAATTGGGCGCGGCCCAACCGTCTATGGATCCGGACTTCCACTACCTCCGTGCAGGGCAAGTGGCGTCCGGGCTTGGAGTCCGTCCTGGCCATGATCACTCTGGCTGTCCGGATGCTTTTCCCCAACTGGCTATAGTCAC